CACATTGTAAACTCTTATGGTTGGTGAAAACATCACATGAACACCATACAAATAGTGCCTCCAAATCTTTAAGGCAAAAACAACCGTCGCTAGTTCAAGGTCATGGGTAGGATAATTCTTTTCATGAATCTTGATTCGTCATGAAGCATAGGCAATGACTTTCCCATTTTGCATTAGCACACATCCTAGCCCAATTCTCGAGGCATCACAAAAAACAACAAAACCATTAGTCCCTTCTGGTAAAGTCAACACCGGAGGGGAAGTAAGTCTATCCTTCAACTCTTGGAAACTCTTTTTTCATGCTTCAGACCATATGAACTTAACCTTCTTTTGGATCAAAGTCATCAAAGGAGAGGAAATTGAAGAGAACCCTTTAATAAACCTTCTATAGTAACCGGCTAGACCCAAGAAACTTCTAATATCTGAAGGGGATAGACGTCTAGGCCAACTCTTAACTGCATCCATATTCATAGGATCTACCTCAATTCCCTTACTTGAAACAATGTGACCAAGAAAAGCTACGGACCTTAGCCAAAACTCACATTTGCTAAACTTTTCAAAGAGTTGTTGGTCCTTGAGAAATTGCAACACAATCCTCAAATGATTGATATGATAATCCACACTTCACAAATAGATCAATATGTCAATGAACACAATCACAAACATGTCAAGGTACCATCTAAACACCTTATTTATCAAATCCATAAATGTTGGCAAAGCATTAGTCAAACCAAACGACATTACCAATAACTCATAATGACCATACCGAGTTCGAAAAGCCGTCTTCGGAATGCCATCTTCTGTAACTACCTGGATTTGAAAAAGGACAAAATGCAGATTTTCAGAAGTTGTTGATGCCACCGACGGAAGCCACCTACTGACAGTAGGTTAACCCACTGACCGTAGGTGTGGTCCGTGGTCGACTACCTAAACTTGTTCCAGAAAAATCTAGAACCATGATGGGACCTACATACCATAGGTGGGACCACAGTCCGTGGTTCAGATCCCAGCTTGCAGCTCCCAGACACCGATCGATGAACTGATAGGACGGACCGTCGATCAAACCACGGACCATCAGTCAGGGTCCGTAGGTCGGCAGTCGACTTTCAGCTTAAGGGTAGTTGGGTCTTTTCTTAATTATTTTATCCCTAAACTACGTCATTTGGTTTAGTTTAAGCCTAATATTCTAGTCAGAACTTACCCTAAGTGATTCATTCACCAAAATTCATCAAAATTTAGAGCAAAAGAGGAGTAAGAGTCGACCAAATCCTTCCAAGAACACAATAGATTTTCTTCAATTTCAGCCCCAAATTTGAAGGATTTCTCCATAGAATTCGTCACCATGTATGTGGGATTTCACTAGTGGGTTCCTTTCATCCACTAGGTCCCTTGAATTCAGTCAAATTTTTTATTCGCTATATCTTACTTAGACCTAGGGTTATTAAAACCTTAGATATTGGTTGTGATTTAATGTTATAGTATTCTTAATCAGATTAATATGTTTTCATGAAAATGTTGCTTAGTTCCTTGCATGAAAATCATAACCCTAGTTGTGTAGATTATGTTAGTTCATGAATTACACTTGCTAGGTCAGTTAAACAGATATACATGCTCCAATTTTGAACGTTTCATTGTCAATACCTAAATGTTGCATTCTCAGATTTGCATATCAGAATATTGAGCTATCCAGTATTTCAGTAATGTTGTGTCATACACATTCCCAGTGTAGAGTAGGCTTAGCACCGAGTTGGACTAAGGTTCAGCATACCCTCATAGTCCCAGAACTACGTGCCCCCATAGATTTATAGGTCTCCTCTGTTAGGCTTCAAATTTAGTGATCATGTCATTCATGCCTTTATACCCCTGGCAAGGTATATTGGGTCCTCTCGATGTGGCATATACATCGGACTCCACATTTATCTCACGTGGTTTTATGTTGGTTAATAGTAGCTCCCAAAGTCAGACTCTACTGCATATCACCAGGTTTTCAGTTACACTTCAATATTGAGTCCCAGCATGTTAAATTCATTATTAGTACTTGGTCATTGCATTTAGCTCAGCTTTCAATTATATTTGAGTATCTATGTTTCTGTTCAGATTATATCATTGCTCAGTTATGTTTGTTCAACTTTTATACCTTGTTCAACTATTATATATATCTTGCATGCTTAGTACATTCCAATAACTAACGCATACTCTGCACTACATCTTTTCATGATGTATGTTTAGGTATTCAACATCTAGATCAAGTATAGATCGATTCTGGATTCTTATTCAACAGCTTCAGTGGTGAGTCCTCATAATTCGAGAACAACAGACTTATCTTTCATATTTAGTCTTTCATTTCAGTTTTCAGATTTGCTAAGAGTTAGCTGGGGGAATGTCCCAACAACTCTAGTCAGTAGAGGCTTTTTCAAACATAATATTAGATTCAACTTTAGATTTGAGTTTGATCTTTCAGTTGTCATTGAACTCTTAGTATATTTCATATATTTAGATTAGTTGGGTATTCCCTACTAGGTATTCCCCACTTTCAGTTACCACTGTTTTAGCTTCCGCATAATATCTCTTTAATTAGATTGTTTTAGTATTCTTATGATATGCCATCTTCAGGGTTAGCTTGGGGTCACTCGAGATCCTAGGTCTCGTGTTTACGTCAAGGGGTAGTCTCGGGGAGTGACAAACTTGGTATCAGATTATTAGGTTAAAGAGTCCTAGGATGTCTGAAAGCCGCACTAAGTAGAGTCTCTTTCATGGGTGTGAAGTGCACCACTTCTAATGAGAGGGAGGCTACGAAGTGTTTTAGAAAAAACTTCACTTTCTTATTATTATTATCGTGCGTAGGTATGATCTCCTTTCTAATTTGTTGTTATGCAATTTAGATCATTCCTTCTCGTAGAGCTAACACACAGAATGCTAATGCTAATGATGGATCAATGGCTCAGAGTGTAGCCAACCAGAACAATCAGCAGGTCCAGTTCCTACTAATACTAATGATGGATCAATGGCAGCTAGAGTTTGAGATTTTGTTAAGATGAATCCGCTTGAGTTCCTAGGATCGCAAATTGGTGAGGACATACAGAACTTCATTGATGAGGTTAAAAAAATCTTTGGAGTGATGCAAGTGACTTGTAATGATAGGGTAGAGTTGGCATCCTACCAACTTAAGGATGTGGCTCACATCTAGTTGACTCAGTTGAAAGAAAACGGGGGTGCGTATGCAGCTCCTGTGACTAGGGAGTGCTTTACTGGAGCGTTTCTGGATAGGTTCTTCCCAAGAGAGTTGAGGGAGGCTAAAGCTCAAGAATTCATGAATTTGAGGCAAGGTAGCATGTTAGTCCAAGAGTAAGGACTTAAGTTCACCCAACTCTCTAGGTATGCTCCACATATGGTTGCCGATCCAATGGCACAAATGAGTAAGTTTATGTTTGGGGTATCCGATTTGGTAAAGACAGAGTGTAGGAATGCTATGTTGTTAAATGATATGAATATCTCTAGGTTTATAACCCATGCTCAGCAGGTTGAGGGAGATAAGCTTAGGGAAATAGCTAAGGACAACAAGAAGGCTAGAACAGGGATTTATGAATGCTCTCAGTAGAAATTGAGTGGTGGGAATCGCTCACAATTTCAACAGAGATCTACAGCCCCAGCACCTTCATCAGCTAGTGCCCCATTCCTTAGGTTTCGATAGGATCAGAAAGGTATGGCATCAGGCTCTATGTCTCAAGAGAGTAATTCAGGTAACAGAACTCTCCCAACTTGTCCAAAGTGTGGTAAGAACCATCTTGGCTAGTTTCTTGCGGGCAAGGAAGGGTGTTTTGGGTGTGCTCAGTCTGGCCATAGGTTGAAAGATTGCCCTTCTACCATGCAGGGGCAATGAGGTAATAGTAATAGGGCTCAGTCTACAATTCCAGCAGCACCAGTAGGTCACCAAACTCAGAAGGGTGTTTCATCTGGTACAGGTGGCAGTCAGCGCCATAATATGTTGTATGCTCTCCGGGCTTGCCAGGACCAGGAAGATTCTCCTGATGTGGTCATTGGTACGTTACGAGTCTTCCATTTAGATGTTTATGCATTGTTGGATCCATGTGCTACTCTTTCCTTTGTAACTCCCTATATAGTAGTAAACTTCGGTGTTAGTCTAGAAACTCTTTCAGAACCCTTCTCAGTCTCTACTCCAGTTGGTGACCCAGTTATAGCTAGATGGGTATACAAAAATCCCCCTGTCACAGTGTGTCATAAAGTCATCTCAGCAGATCCTGTAGAGTTAGAAATGGTAGACTTTGATATCATTATAGGCATGGATTGGTTACATTCCTGTTATCAATCAGTCGATTATAGAACTAGGATCGTTCCCTTTCAGTTTCCAAATGAGCCTGTCTTAGAATGGAAGGGTAGTAGCTCAGTGCCTGTAGGTCAATTTATCTCTTACCTTAAGGCTAGAAAGATAATTTCCAAAGGGTACATATATCATCTTGTGTTACAACCCGAGAGTAGCCCCTAGACGTAACACGGCATACAAAACTCCGAAGAGCCTTATACAAACCTCTAGCACATCATACCATAAAAACATAGGAAATTTTGTGGAAATTTAAAACTTTTCATTACAATCAAAGTCTTTTATAAAAGTAGGCGGAAGTCTATGACACTATGTCTCAAACCATCTACTACACTTGAATAACACTTAGGGATATAGCCCATACAAAAGCTCTAAAGGTAAAACAAAAGACATAAAGGTAATAATGGGTTTGTCCATGAAGCTGTGAGGACTCACCAAATCTTAAACTCCATGCTCATTAGAAACCTATCTTCCAAGAATAGTACTCAAGTCTCCAAACCCTACACTTTGTAAAAAATTAAAAGAAATATGGGTTAGCACAAATATGTATTAAGTATGATAGCCCTGCAAGAAAAACCTTTTTTTTTTTTAATGAATATGTAGTCCAGTAGACCTTTTATTTATTCATAACCCCAAATACAAAAACAAATAATAAACAAAAATAGACCTACCCTATTACTTTGTCGGTCCAAGAAATACAGGTTTGAAGGTTTTTAGGAAACCATTTTCTTCTTTGTCTCAGCAGCCTCTGATTGGTGCCTCCATGTTCATCTCTATTGAGTTTGCAGTTGAGGTAAGCATCAATTAACCTTCTCTCCATTGTTACGCCCTTTTCGCATTTGTAATTGTTGATGTCAAATCTGCTTCCAATCTGATAACTCGACTTGTAGCTTTTCATATTCAGACAGTGATCTTGAGCCAGGCGTAATTGCAGCTCTCAGATCCAAAACATTGGTGCTCCTTAAGGTCTCCACAACACTCAGGTTAGTCAATTGTGTATCGTACACCACTAAAACTTGTACTATTTCTCCATTTCCGTATCTGCTATGTGACTGAATGCCCTCTGTTACTCCTCTGTATATGTTGTTGCTTGATTTTTGATTGGTCTAGTTCGGATTCTCAATGAAGGAACTTGAGCCTTGTCCATGTTCAAAATGCATTTTCCTTTCGTAGGTAGACTTATGAATGTGTTGAACTGAACCAATCCTACTGCTCCTATCACTGCGTTAGCTATGAAATCCGCTAAATTGTTCCCCTCCCTCAGTGTATGTTGAATCCTTACTTTGTTGATCTCCATTAATACCCTACATTCCTCCACCTGCTCAACTCTTTTCCCCAGGGGAACTTTTCCAAGAGTTCCTTAGACAGTTAACAATGCTAAGAGAGTCTGATTCCAGCCAAAAACCCCTCTAATCCAACCCTTTTACAGTATCTTAGGGCCTCCAATATTGCAATGATTTCTGCTTCCGTGTTGGTTCTCAAACCAATATCTTCTCCCTGTGCATATAAAAGATTACCATATTCATCCCTAATACAAAATCCATAAGCACTTTGTCCAGGGTTCCCTCTGCAAGCACCATCTGTATTCACTTTAATTTTATTCCTTGGTGGTGGAACCCATCTTACGCTCATGGCATAAAGCTTAGGTTTGTATTCATTAAGATATTTGACTATATCCTGCCATTCTGTAGGGATCGTTTGTATCCAAGGGTATTGCAACTTAATGACAAGATGTATCTGAATTCTGATCTGCTCCTTCATCTGATTATAACTGCATTTTCCTCCATGTTTGATTGTGTTCCTTCTCCTCCACAGAGCCCACATTATCATTGCTGGAACTGCTTTCTGAATTGCCATTAGCTTTATATTAGCATCTCTGATCCACCATTTTGTGATTAGTTGTTGCAAATGCATGCCTTCTATGTTTATACCTGCACAAATAGCAAACTGCTTCCACAGCCTATTGGCTATAGAAGCTGTTAGAAAAAGGTGGGTCATAGTCTCATGTTTGCTTTCATCACAACACCAACATTTTGAGACAAAATGTATGTTCATCCTTTGCAAGTTATCATCTATAGCTACCCTTCTTTTCCACACCCTCCACAAGAAGAAACATAATTTAAAAGGCATTTTGGGATCCCAAATAAATTCAAAGTCTCTTCTTTTCTCCTTTTTATTCCTCAAACCCTCCCAGGCAGATTTCACACTGAATTCTCCATTATTTTCCAACATCCACCAAGCTTTATCATTCCTCCCCTCAATTAACTCTGGTTTAATATTATCTATTATACATTCTGTTATCTCTTCTGATATGTGATTCAGAAGCTTATGTTTATCCCAACTCCTATTATGAATAAACTCTTTGACCTCTATTTCTTCTTCCTTAGCATTGTCCCCCTCTATATAGTATAGATCCCCTAGCTTTGTCCAATTGTCATACCAGAAACTTGAGGACCCATTAATGGTTTGCCACCAAATATTATGTTCCACCTCTTCCCTAATCATCACCATCTTCCTCCAACTATGAGATCCCCCTAAGCTTTTTTCCATTATAGGATGGACTTTCTTGCAGTATTTGTTCCACATAAATGCACTCCACAGTGAGTCTGTAGATACCCTAAAATTCCACCATAGTTTAGCAAAAAGTGCATTGGATAGGTCATGCAATGATCTGAAACCCAAGCCACCTTCTTCTTTTGGACTGCATAAGTCCTCCCATGCTACCCAATGCTTACTTCTTGTACCAGCAGTGTTGCTCCAAAAAAACCTTGCAAATATCATATGTAACTGTTTAATAATCCCTTTAGGTGGATTCATTGCAGTTAAAAGATATACAGGCATTGATTGGAGCACATGAGCTACCAAGATGTATCTTCCCCCAAAAGAAATTAGTTTGTTCTGCCACAATAATATTCTCTTTCTCACTTTCTTCAGCAGCTCTTCAAAATGATCTGATCTTCTTCTCCTATAAAATATAGGACATCCTAAATAAGTGAAAGGAAAAGATCCCTGACCTATTCCTGTCAATTTCCTTATTCTTGAGCAATCTGGAATAGGCACTTTCTCATGAAGATATACAAAACTTTTAGATAAATTGATCAGTTGGCCAGAAACATATTCATATTCTCTTAGCACCTTCATCATCTTCTTTATAGATCTATGATGTCCAGAACAGAATAAAATAGTGTCGTCAGCATATGACAGATGGTTTATGTCTGGGCTCCACTTGGGCATACCATATCCTCTGTAATCTGGATCCTCATGCAGTTTATTCAGACCCCTTGATAAAACTTCAGCAGCAATGATGAACAAAGTGGGAGATAATGGGTCTCCTTGTTTCAATCCCCTAGTGGATTTGAAAAAACCTTGTTTTTGCCCATTAATTAGTATAGAATACCAATTATTAGTTAGTATCCTCCAAACCATATCAATCACTCTTTCCCCAAAACCAAATTTTCTCAACACTTTTGTTAGAAACACCCAAGACACCCTATCATATGCTTTAGTCATATCCAACTTAACTACAATATTATGCAACTTGTTTCTTCTATTAATGTCCCTAACAATTTCTTGAGCTAACAACACATTCTCAGAAATGCTTCTACCTTTTACAAACCCAGCCTGATTGTTTGAAATAATCTTGGGGAGCATTGGGACAATTCTTTCATGAAGCATTCTAGAGATTATTTTATTAGAAAATGTACTTAGACTAATTGGCCTTAAATCTGAAAAAGTCACCACTTTTTCTTTTTTGGGAATAAGCACCAAATTAGTGTGAGTAACATACCTTGGCAACTCTTGTCCAGCAAAGAATGCCTGCACCATTCTAGTGATATCCTTGCCTAAGATGTCCCAACATGTCTGAAAGAACAATCCAGAAAAGCCATCAGGTCCACTAGTGCTGTCTCCATTTAAAGCATCCACCACTATCTTTACTTCATTCTCTGTTGGTGGTTTACTGATTCTGTCATTGTCCTCTTGTGTGATCAAAGAAGGAATATTCTCCAGCATGCTGTAGTCTCTGTCTCCCCTCACCTCATTGAATTGCTCCTTAAAAACTTTGACAGCTTCTTCCCCAATGTTCTGTGCACCACTAATGATATCTCCTTGATCAGTGTGAATCTCATCTATATTCATCCTCCTTCTTCTGCCTTTCACATAAGAGTGGAAGAATTTTGTATTTCTGTCCCCATCCTTGAACCAGCTCAATCCTGACTTCTGCTTCCAATATTCTTCCTCAAGATTTAAGAATCTAATAAGCTTTGCCTCTGCCTTCTTCAATTCTTCCCTTGAATTCTCATCAGGCCTAACCTCCAGTTGAGCTTCTTTGGTCTGAATAATATCCTCTAATGTAGCAATTTGCTGGAAAATATTCCCATATTCTTTTTTGCTCCATTCTGCCAGAGCAGCCTTTACTTTTTTCATCTTTGTTTGTACCTCTGTAAATGGGGACCCTACAAAATCAATCTTCCAATTATCCTCTACAATTTTCTTGAAATCTTTGTGTTTTGTCCAAAAATTCAAAAATTTGAAAGGCTTAATCACTGGTTCACTATATGTGTTGCATTTAACCAGTAAAGGTGCATGATCTGATCCTTGTCTCAGCAGATGTGTTACTTCTGAAGCTGGGAGTAACTCAAAAAACTTTTGATTGCCCATTATTCTATCCAATCTTTTAAATATGCAAGCCTTCCCTATTCTTCCATTCCACCATGTATATTTACTCCCAGTGAATTTTATCTCATCAAGGGCACAATTACTCAAACATTGCTCAAAATCGATAGTCTCTAAATTTGACACTGGTAGCCCTCCAAGCTTTTCCTCTTCATTTCTTATTACATTAAAATCCCCACCTACCACCCAAGGCAAGTGATTGCCTTCAATAACATTCTCCAACTCTTCCCATAATTCAAGTCTTTCTATTGCACTACATCTAGCATAAACTGCTGTCATCACTATCTGCTTTTGACTGCCAGTGTGAGTAAATCTAACAGTGATTTGTTGGATAGTGTCTGATATGATGTGTCCCTCCCACTCTTCATGCCAGAATATCCAAATTTTTGAAGAACAGTTAACTAAGGCATTTGTTAGTCCTACTCTCCTCCTGTAACTTTCTACTTCTGATGGATTTTGAAATGGCTCAAAGAGAGAAATATATGAAAAATGATGTCTTCTATTAAGATCTAGTAATCTCTCAAAAGCATTTTGAGTATTCACTGATCTTATATTCCAAAAGATGATGTTGTCTATCATAGATCACAAGATGTTTGCCTCTCCCTACTACTTCTTGTTTGCACCTGTAAAGGTACTGTAATCCCTGGTTTAGCTTTTCTTAGTCCACTTCTCAGTCTGTCCAGCTGTCTGGGTGACAAATCACCCTCTTTGCCAATGCTTTAATGTTTCCTCCATCTCTTCATCCTCCTTCTTGTTTTCCTTAGAACACAAACTTCCTCACTGTTTGGATCTTCTGGCATCCCATTAGTGGCTTCTACTGCTTGAAATTCTTTGCAAAGAGTTGAATTCCCTGCCACTGGTTCACCACTTGGATTTATGTTGATAGCCCCTTGAACTTCCACCAACTCTTCATGTGACTTCCCTATTTTATTAGTACTTTGTACACTCTTTTCTGTTTCTTGTTCATTGTTTTTGCTCCAACGCTCCCCAATACTTTTTTGCCCACTTCTTCTCATTGGTGATCTGATTTGTTCATGGTTGTTTTGATTTGTATCTTTCTTGTTGTTGTTAGTTTCTGATTGTTCTGATTGCATCTCTCTCTGCTTCACTACTTCTTCCCCTTTATCTTTGTCCTCTTTCTGTGTTCTGGATTCACTTTGTCCTTCTTCCATCTCTAGTGCAGTAAATTTGTTCACAATAGTTACAACACCTTCCTCTTGTGGCCTAATTTTTTTGTGCCACTGTTGTGTCACCCCTGTCCTCTTTTGCTGTCCACCCCTACCAAATCCATTTTTCGACCTATACTCCTT